GTTGCCTCTTAACGACAAGCAGATAATCATGCAAAATGTCTCTAAGCAAACCCAACTAGCTCACATTCTCAACAACACCTTGTGTTTGAGACATCCGCTCAAGACAGACTGCAGTAGGCAAAACAAGCAGACTTTAGGAGTTCGCTGATGGTCTGAAGCACCCGCAGTGAGCCGGGAGTCAGTGAGTTGGTACTAATGTGTTGATTGGGCCAAAAGTGAGGCTGAGAGAAAAGAGCATTTTGATGATGGCCCGCTGGGATGCCAGCCCTCCACTGTTATTACCCAGCTTTTAATTACAGCGTGTCAGGAAGAGGGGCGGAAAAGCACAGGTTTCTCATGTCTGATGAAGGGGACCGTGCACATGAGATGCTCAAGGCATTCTCACAAAACACATGAGGCGGGATGGAAAATATATATGCATTCAATGAGTCCCTCTATTAAAGAAAGAAAGAAAGAAAGGTGTATTTCCGCACATATATAAGCGTAGAAACTATAAGCCCGTTTACACCTGTGGATAATGCTTGACTACATTAAAAGACGCACTTTGATCAGATCACTGAAAATAAATTTGGAGGTGGGCAGGGTTAGATTCTGACCACATGCATTTTTGTGATCCGCATTCAGCTATGTAAATTATATGTAATGAGTAACGCTGCAAATAAACATATAGCCTATATTGCTTTAATGAATGTGCAAGCAAAAGCTGTTGCAGATGGCTTTTTATTTTAATTCTGCTCTTGCAATGTGAAGGAAAATAGACACTTGTGATTTGTTCAACCGATTTAATCAACAACAACCAATTATTTATCTAATTATTTCACTGGAATCTTATTGCTTTCCCCACATTTTCTTCCTTTTTATTCACTTCTAATTCCCATTAATGTCCTTTACTGAGGGGCTCATATGGAAAAGAAAAGCAAGAAATAATGGGAGGAATTTTGAATCATTAACCAAAGTAAATTGCATGCTGTTCTTGAACCATTTGGAGTATATGCATGGTTTTGGTTTCTTTTGAAAGGTGACACTCGGAAATGTATTCTGTTTAGGAACAAACATCAGAGTGTCACTGTAAGTCTTACTGGTATTGAGTAATAGAACTCTGAACACATTGAAAAAGGAAAAAACATTCCGCCTACATTTTTTTTTGGAAACAGAAGATGCCTGAAGATGACTATAGCTGGGAGCTATTAGCTGGAAAACACAATGGGATCACAGCATGAAGCCTTGTTGGCGGTCTGACAAAGACATTTGCATCATTCAAATCACAAGAATCTCAACTTTCCAAAGATATGTGACAGGTTTAGCTTTTTTTTCTTTTTTTCGCAATGTGCAAAATATTAACAACTAAACTAAGCTAACAAAACTAAGACTCATCATGCTGTGAAACCTTGGAATGTTTGAAAACACAACTCACTGTAACTAAGAGGCTTCTTGGAAAGTGACCGAGTGTCTGTAAACAAATCTCAATCGTCTACACACACGCAATACACATACACACACCTCCTCTCGGACAAATTACATTCACAGTCAGCATTACAGCCTATTAGTATTCCAACGGCGACGCCTCGAATTTGCATCCAAACCTGGAATGTAATATACATGATGTAAAATAATGCTACTCTTCATTGTCAATTTGCTAGGACATAAAAGTACATTAGACGGCTGCCGCATTCCCGCTTGGGCAAGTCAGAACAGACTCGGGCAATGAGAAGCCGCATTGCCATCAGCAATGGAGAGAGATGAACTGAGAGAAAGCAGTATACAGCATACATCACCTATAGGGAAACCCCCACCTTTCTTAAGTTATACAAGTTGTTACATTTAATTCAAAGCATCTTTGCCAAGAATTACAGGTTAATATGTCTAATAGCAGCGTGAAGGTGAAGCGCATGGACTTGTTTTATGTGTCAAAGGATACTTTCTAATCATGGCTTTCATGTCATAGTGTGCAAGCAGGAGGTTTTCGCATGAGCAGAGCAGAGAACCACAAAACAGCTGCATTCCTGCATGCATGAGTCAGACGTGGGGGAAATGGGATGCATTCGAGTCTTTAAACCGATCAGTATTCATGCTCTCATGGGAGAGAGAAATGAGAAAAGGTAGATTCTGAGGTAGATGGAGCGATCTAGCATTCTACGAAGTTGCACACACACATACAGGGAAAGAAAGAAAGAATGAATACATTCCTGGGCGCGTTGAGACAGATTTGCCGCCTACAGGGAAGAGGCTACTGTAACCCAGCACCATTGTGCATGCGCGTGTATGTCTGTGTGATGGGGGTCAGAGAAGCATAACTCTGCCCTGTCCCGAAGTATCAAAGTAATACAGCCAGGTATATTACACAGGTCATCTCTTCCCCAGTGCCACAGCACAATCTCGATGAGTCCACTGCGGTTTCATCTCATCATTAAATGGTTTCTTTAAACCGGAATGCACATTCTCTCTGATTTAATTAAAAATTAAAATCAATTACAGAAACCTTGACGCACCAATTGTAAGCAACTTTTTTCCTATAGCGAAAATGAAAATAAATACAGCATTAGTGTTATTAGCAAGTATTAAGAGATTTTAAAAATATTTTATTTTTTACAAAATATCGTATTTAATTTCTGAATATTTTATATTCAGAAAATGATATTTATAATTTGATATTTAAAATTAATATTTGTCCAGTCAGCTGTAGAAATCATTGTAGTTAACCCACAGTAGATGACAAATGTCAATAGCATGATAATTTTTTGTTTAAAAATATTTTAAATTAATATTTACTAAATTAAATACTTTCTTAACTAATTTAAAAACTATTTTAAATATTTAAAAAAAACTTCTATTATATAAAAATTTTTTAATAAATCAAACCATTAACCTTGTATCCATTTTAATGTATAAATAAGATTTAAAATGGGGACAGAGTGAGTGATTTCTGCAGCTGATTGTTTGGACAAACACTTGGGGACAAAGACTTCACCCTCAAACAGCAGGGAGGATGTTTGCCTTTTACCTCCATTGACACAGCGTTTGTTTTCTGCCAAAGTTTGACTTGGGTCAGTTAAACAACTGTTTTTTTTTTTCTGGAGAGGCCTGTTTCTTTCTTTGGGTTCTGACCAGGTGCTTGCATTGTAAGTTTAAGAATGCTGCAGTGGCCTGTAGAGCAAACAATGACAAACAAAAGTCTAATACAAAACAGGAACATTTTCACTAATCCAATTTGATAAATGTTTTTCATTATAAATCATCACAAACTAGAATTTCAACGTTGTCTTCACTGTATAGACAACATTTAGGCTTGTTACATGGGGTTATGCTCACCAAGGGTTCATTTATTTGTGCAATACTGTGAAATATCATTACAACTTAAAATAACTCTTTTCCATTTCAATTCATTTTAAAATGTAAAAACTACTCTAGTAAAATTATTCCAGTTTTCAGGGTCACATGAGTCTTCAGAAATTTGGTGCTCAAAAATTATTTATTATTATTATCAATGTTGAAAACTGTTGTGCTGCTTAATATTTAATGGATTGACATTTTAATATATAATATTTTGGTAGTTTTTCAGGATTCTTTGGTGAATAGAAAGTCCAAAAGAACAGCATTTATTTGAAATAGAAATCTCTTGCAACATTTTCAATGCCTTTGCTGTTCCTTTTGATAAACCTAATGAATCCTTGCTGAATAAAAGGACAAATTCATAAGTAATAAGTATTACTCATAAGTAATTAAGCTCATAAGTGCTTGGAGACACTCACAGAGACAGTGCTGATTGTGACACACCTGCAATAGAGATTTTATCTGACAGGATTTCAATCCTCCCCCTCTGGTGTAGAGTTCCTGGGGTCGGGAAGAGACAGAGACTGCATGCATGCTCAGACAGCTCTGCAAACTCCTCATACAGATTCATAATCATCAAAGATTGCCCTAAAACAATTAATGAAGTGAAATGCGTTTTTCTTTTCTTTCTGGAAGTGGTCAATGCTGAACATGCCTCTAGCTTTAAAGAAAACAGGAAACTGACCTTCTTCAATACCTCAAAAGTTGTCATAACGCACTATATAGAGTGGATTGGATCAAACTACTGATTGCAACATCCTCTTTTGCAGACGTTTGCAAAGTTTACCTATTATAGGCATGCATCTTAATAAACCTTTTATTGACTACACAATTTCCAGAAGTTGTCCTAATTCATTTGACCACATCAGTGTTTGTATCAGCTTGCAAATCTAGCAGATTACACAAGTCAAGCGAGACAAAATCCTACAAAATGTGCCACATGAAATCGTATTCCCAGGTGATTGTGAGAATTAGTCCTCAGGAATTCCATCAGATCTGTAATCAGTCAAACCCCCGCTGCTTCCTACCCACATGCCCCTTGTCTTGTTTCGAATGCCTATAGAAATCAACAGGAGGGGTGGGGCATTCCTGCTCCTGTTCAGACTTGAGCACATCGCACATAGTAAAAAAGCATGCCATTTTAAACACGACTTTGTGATACAATGTGAAGGAAGTTACAGCTATAAAAACCAAAGTCTGTGGTTGTTTGTCATGTCAGCACAGGTAATGGTACTGTTAAAAACATGGGAAAGAACGCATGTATAATGAAGCATAACTTTAATGTATTTTAGAGCAAAAATGAATGAATATATATGCAGAAATGAGCCAATAAACACTAAAAGACAACAATAAAAAACCTAAACCCCAAATGCTATAAGAATTATCACTGAACTTTAAGATTCAGCATGCTAGCTATGCTTTAGCAGACAAATTGAGCACAATATATTTGAGATAAATAAACAAGCAGTGCACGGTAAGTAAACCAAAACATCAAACTTAAATTATTATACTATAAATTCACATTTTACTTGCTGAGTTAGTGGCATTAGGTGTGGTTCAGATTTATGATACGAAGGGGTGCGGTTTGCAAAAAAAGGCTAATTCCCATTGGTCGCTGCCTGCTGGTGTAGCAGCGCTACCTGAAGCAGGTAGACAAATAAAGACAGACCCGAGAAAGAGGATCACACTGCTGCTCATCACGGCAGGAATCAAGCGCACATTGGGACCAACTAAAAACGTTCAAGACCTTCATGCTAAAGGTTTAGGCCTTTTTATTTTTTGCAAGGTTTAACAGAAAACAATTTCTGACTTTTTGTTTGTTTAGCATCAAGTTGGATCTAACGCCATGAGCAAGGTGAGTGTGTGGTCAAAATCAAGGTGGGTAACATTAGCAATTGTCTTAAGAAAATGCCATTTGATTTACATTTTAAAATATTGTGTTGAATTTTTGTTTTCAAGTGCTTATACATTCTGCTTGACGGCAATGATGTTAAAAAGATAAACTAAAAAAAGTACTTTAGGTTTAAAATATGTATTTTTTTTATTTTGATTGTATGCATGTAAGAGGGTAAATCTGTGCAGATCCGTATTAAAGCGCGTGGAAAACCCCCCTCTCAAACACACATGCATGTTCGCGGGGGGTGGGGGTTTAGGGTTGTGTTACACTGTGTTGGGAGTCAAAAAGCACAGTTTTTTTGTGTTGGCAAAGCAAACAGGCCTCGTACCTGTATGACCTACAGGCACAGAGGGAGAGACAGGTTTGGGCTCGCTGAAGGGAGAGGCCAAGTCACAGAGTACATTCTCTCACACTCTCTGAAGGCAACAACTGCCTTCGCATTGGAACATTTTGAACCTGCACAACAAAATAATATCAGTTAGATTTGGAAATTTAAATTTTCAAAATTTGCCCGTTAGATGTACAGTCTTTAAGTAATCCGTAATCCCTGTGCTTTATTTATTGACAGTGTGCTTATATTGTGTTATACTTCATACAGGTACAGAAGAGCTGCGGAAGCCGAAATGCGGTTTTATCTGCTCTGTGAATTCTATCCTTCATTCCACCGGAGTCTGTGTAGCTGTCCAATCAGATTTCAGTGGTGTGAAGTGTAGGAGACATGGAAAGATCACTTTTTCCACAACCTGCAAAGGTTCACGGCCTGTATCGTGTTAACAGAAAAAGCAGCACGGTTATAAGGTGAAACACATGTTAAAAATACAACTACAAGTTTTAGAAGGCATGCATGACTAGTTTTCAGTTGTAGTATAATTTGCATTGTGCTTTCATGCTTGCACGGATCAATGCAGGCCGTGACAGTTGTATGCTAAACACTGTGAATGTTAAGCCCCGGCTCTCCTAATGTGCATTGAACGCTTTTCAGAGTATCTAAACATCTATCTAAAGCATCGTACCTCACTCTGCCCTTTAGCGCACAGCGACAGTTCCACACAACATGGCATGTTTGTTCATTTGCTGTTGTGGAGAGAGCCAAGGCGGGCTAAGTACACACACACACACACATACAATATTCACAAAGCCTGCCAAGATGTATTTATGTATGCTGGTTCAGCCTTTATCCTCTCAACCCACACTAATAAACTCACTTTACAAAATGTGTTTGTGTGAATTGCTTAATCCTGACAATAAACTACTATAATAAAACATAACCCTTACTCATTCCCCTGGCATTTGTAGTATGAATGTTGCGGTTTATGAATTTCAATTAGTCCACCAAGTATGTGAGCTGCTCTTTGCATGCATACGGTGAGGTTGAGATGATGTTAATCTTGGGAATGATTTCACACAAAGCCAAGCTGAGGTGAAGCGAGTTCAAAGCAAGGCAAGTGCAGTGCGAGACACGCTCAGCTTTACAGAGGCCTTTAAAGTTCATCAACACTCAATGCAAAGAAACTTCTTTTGAGCAGTTTAGTTAATTCCCCTTGTGAAATTGCTCCTCAAAAATGAAAAATAAATGCAAAGTTTGAGTTTCGCCTCAACAAGATTACACTAGTGGCTTCTCACGATCAACAAAACTCTTTCGTTTTTTGATTGTTAAATCATGTTTCGACTTGATCAGGGCCTATTTTAAAGGCCTCAATAATGAGATAACAGCGCTGAAAATACATGTTCAGCCAAAGCAAAGGAAACAATGTCATATGAAACAATGGTATCATATAAATCTCATATAATTTTCGAACACAGCTTTGTTTTTTAATGCTTTTAAAGTGATTGGCAGAGTTAGATAAGAGATAATGTACATTATGCTGGTCATTATCACAACAATAATAAACCCAGGCGCAAAGCGAAGAGGGCTTATATCACATTGAAGAGGTTTATTATGTGACAATGAGAGGCTGACTGTACATTATACCTTACATAACACCTGCCCATCTCTTTAACAGTGTTAAAAATAGTATAAACATAATTGTACTATTTTACATTCCCATAGCTCAAACAGTAGAGCAAAACAGGTTTGATTATATATATTGTCAGCCTATATATATATAGGTTTGATTATATATACTGTGTCTGCCTATATACTGCAGGATTGCTTGTAATAAAGAATTAAATGCAAAAGAAAAGGCAGTAGAGCTGACTGTTTCTGTCAATGGTAAGTTTTATTTTGGATTTGTGTGATAATCAAAATAATGGATAAATGTGTTTGTAAACAGCCCTGGATCAGTTGCAGACTCCTGTGTGAAAGCACAGTCCGTGCTGCTTCTGCACCGCTTACGTACCACACATGGACTGCACTGCAAACTGAGTATGTGTGAATCTGGCATAGCAGGCCGCCTCACATAAAGCTCATGAAATCAGGCTTGTGCTGTGTGTGTAAGCTATTGTGCAACAATTACACGGTTGTCAAAACAAAAATGCAGTGCATGATCAAACATTTAGGTGAGATAAATATATATTTTTGAAAAATGTCTAAAAAAAAAATCCCACCCTCCACCCCTCAAATTAAAAAATCCCCTCTCACAAGAGTCACGTAAGAGGGGAATTCATTTTCAAAAATGAAATTCAGGCCCTGAATAAATGTCTAAAAATCTTGATTGGATCATCACTATAAATAATTCTACATGATAAAAAGGCGGCTTTAAAATATCGGTATCGGTGATCGTATCGGCAGATACTGCTTTCTGTGATCTGCCTCAAAAATCCTGATCGGAGCACCCTTATTGTTTAGTTTCAAATTTCACACTTGATGACTCATGATTCCAGATGATTTGAAAATAAAGACAGACCAAGAAATGTAACTGCCGTCTCCAAGATTTCAGTTACAATGCTAGCATCGGTGCTCAGCTTCTTCCTCCTTTTCCTCAGCCCAAATTTTGCTGATGATACAGGTGAGTGGAGATGGCTTGCAGCAGATGCAAATAATAAACAGACACAAAGTTCTGACTGACTGATCCACCTGCTGTGCAGTATTGGTTTATTCGCTGAAGGTGACAGTGATAAAGGGGGAAAGGGAAATATGTCTCTCCTATCACACATCCCCATTAATTGATTACACCTCTTCTCTGCGATGTCACACGCCTGCCTCTCCCATGATATTCACAGCTGTTCTATACATTCCTCAAAGGATGGTATCAGCTGCAGTCATAAGAGCAGCCATAAAGACTGTCAAGCGGGACACAGGTACACCTAGAATGGTACAGGCTCGACTGTATTTATATATACCTAATGTGTGTGTGTGTGTGTGTATGTTGGAGAGAGAGGTGGAATGGTTACATGACAAATTATTATAACCAAATGTTATTAAATACTGCATCTCAATACATGAATTGATTAGTTGAATAAAAAGGTAATAAATAAGAAAAGGGAAGACATTGTCATAAATGTCATGTTAGCAATAAAAGTTAAAATAATTTTAAAAAATTTAAAAAACACTTAAAATGTGTCTTAAAATGCTGAATTTCATTCAGTTGCACTCCGTATGTTTGAAAGGAACGTGTCCAGTGTGTATGCGCCTCCTCCAGAGTGTTCATTATTGCTAATAATCACACTACAACCAATCACAAAATTAAAGAAACACTCATTTTTAAACCTAATAAGAAAAATAAAAAAATTGACTACAGAAATTTCCATGCTTTCCCAATATGATCTCTAATACATACTGCCACGGTGCGTGTGGAGAGATGAAGCAAGGACTCAAGTGCAGGATGAATGGTTCCTTCTTTTAATAATCAAATGAAACAAAAACAACCCCGAGGGGGAAAAACAGACAGGCAGGCTAGGAACTGCACTACATGCAGACATAACACGCACAATGAAAAACGACGGATCAGCACAGGATTACAGACACCAGGAGAATAAATAGGAAACCAAATGAGGAGGCTAGCGAGGGAGACACAGGTGGAGCAACTTAAACAATAATGAGGTAACAAGATGGGTGGGGCAAGACAATAGACAGGAGAGAGCACATGGCACCAGACAAACGCAACACAAGCCACCAGACAAACACAACACAAGTCATGTGCTCACAGAAAACAGTGACATCTGGTGGCCCTCCTGGGCACACCCGCTGAAGACTGTGACAACATACAGTATGATACCATTCATAAGTTTGGGGTAAATTCAATTTTTTTTATTACTTTTATTCAGCAAAGATGCATTAAATTGATTGAAAGCAACAGTAAAGTCCTTTAACGTGTTACAACAGATTTCTATTTCAAATAAATGCTGTTCTTTTGAACTTCCTATTAAAAAGTAGCATGGTTTCCACTATAGTATTAAGCATCACAACTGTTTTCAACATTAACATCATCATAACATCACATTAGTAAGAAATTATTCTTGAACACCAAACAAGCATTGAACAGAATGAATTCTGAAGGATCATGTGACACTGAATAAGCCAGAATTGCGTGATATAAACTCGCAAGTGTGAGAAAGTCAAAACTGCGAGATATAAACTCAAAATTCTGACTTTTTTCTCACAATTGTGAGTTTATATCTGGCAATTCTGGCTCTTGCAATTGTGTGTTATAAAGTCAGAATTGCCAGATATAAACTCACAATTCTGACTTAAATCTTAAATTAAAAAAAAAAAGTCAGAATTGTGAGTCGCAATGCAGTGGCAGAAATGTGCTTTCTATACATAAGAGACTTCTTTCAAAAGCACAAAAAAAATTTACTGACCCCAGTTTTGAACCATACATCTAACATTAAAAAAAACACCCATTCAGATTCACAACCAAGTGTACATTAGAATATGACCGCACACATTTCCATATCAAAAACCTGGAGGTGTGGTTACTCATTTCACACACAACATGATTAGTCAATCAAAACAGAGCTAATTTACATATTCAAGAATAGTCATGTTAAACTAAATTACAACTTTCTGGTGCAAAAAGAC